CCCTATGTCAGAGAAGATAATTTGGGGTAGGATAAAAGAACATCCCCATGGAAGCCCAATGCTTGTAGAAGCAGTAGAAGACCCATCCAGGCCAGCGAATTTGAAGATTAGAACAAGTTTATATCTCTCTTGAAATGTCCTGAACTTATACGCATGTAATTAAACACATGTTTAAAAAAACCGAAGCCATCAGTCATGTGGAGAAGCCTTTAATTTTGAAGTAATCGGTCTTCTATATTTCTGTCTGTTTCCATTATAATAAATCTGGTACTATAACTATTGTTTCACTCGTCATCAGAAGGATTGTGCTTTATGGATAGATCTGACTTATTAGAATTAACGTTTCACTGTGTTCCAACTATAAACTGGTATTGTTAATTTGCATAAAGGATTAGTAAAAATTCAAAATGAAAACGTTGCCTTCTTGATACACATTTTTTTAGCAACCTCAGTATTTACACAATACATATTCACACTTCTGTGGAAAACAAGAAGCATCACGATGTAATTAATTTTTTTTTCATGTTATGTCAACTGAAATAAATAACTGTAAAACATATTACGTTTTCCCAGTGCCTATCTTATGATTAAAGAAATATGAAACTACATTACAATGAGTGTAAGTTAAGCCCTATAAAGATAGTGTTTTCAAAGCTTCTAATTTTACTCATTCTTTCAATAATATCTTTCATTTAATAATATGAATTTCTTTATGAAGAAATTATATCGGAAAATAAAATATTGCAAAGAGAAACAAAAAGTATAATTATGTTTGGAAAAGCATATTGCAAATAGTTATTTTAGGACATAAGGATAAGTTAACAGATCAGCTCGTACAGCGTAATTAGAGTAGATTTCACACCAAGTTTATTTTTCTCATAATCTGTCAGTTCAGTTTTCAAAGAAAGAAAACAAATATCTATTGTCGAACACTCCGTTTATCAAATAACATTTTTCAAACTGGTATCGAAAAATGGTACTGCAATGCTAATTTCTAGGCCTAATATCGAAAATGTTATACACTACCAAATGTGTAGGTCGTATCTTTTTGCTCACATCGCCGTCCTTTATAACCATCAGCACATCTACGGAAAAACAGAAATAAAAGAGACATACTAAATAAAATAGAAGTTGCAAATTATTCTATTACCTCTGATTTGATAGAAAAATAAATGCGGAAATTTAGATTGCACCTACATGTGTAAATTTAGATCGCACCTACATGTGAAAATTAAAAGCAGACATTATAAAAACATATAGAATAATTCAAAATAATATGTACATTAATATAAATAAATCTTTAATATTTTTTGAGAAAATACATAATATTTAAAATAAGTTTCTTATTTTGACAAAGTCATAGAAACTTATAAATGGAGTTATAAAGTAAATGATGATAATAATATTACACACAAGTTTAGCAGTTAGACAATAATGTGTTGGTAGTAACTTTTATGTAACTTGTATGTAAGAATACTTCAGCTTTCGGGAGCTTAATGTTATATAAAGAAACCGCTAATAAAATATATATTTAAGGAACAAAAACGAATTTATGGGTCTAAGGAATTAAAGAAATGGGGGAAGGTGGTAATTGATATATATTTTATATATTCGCGAATGTTAAACAACGTTGACTAAATATTGTTTTGACAATTCATTGATTCAGGAGGGTGAAACGCTTGTTCAAGCTGTTTACAAAAAATAATAAAAATAAAATAAAAATAGTCACATTAGTGATCAATCATTCTCGATTTTTCTTTTGTGTGGCATTTACACTTTGATGCTTTATGAAAATCAAATATTTATTAAGGTTTCAAGACATTAATGAAATTCATAGCTATATAACGTATTTACTTTAGTAATCATCCTTGTATTTTCTGAAATAGTTAATCACTAAATAAGACTGTTCAGCTGCTAATCAAACAGATAGAGAAAGAAGACTTGAACATATTGTGCCATGTGTCCCACCGGTGGGTCACAAACAGTTATGTTTCAAAGCCAATTTTTTCTTGTAGCATATGAGTTTGGGACATTGTGACTGCTCCTCGGCGTCTCTTGAATGTTTAAATATAATTATACTTAATCTATTATGTAGCAACCAACGTGTTAAGAATTAAATTTGGCGACTGTCAGTGTTACAATATCATTCTAAACGAATTTTATATTATCACAGTTGAAAAACAACAGTATTTTTCTAAATAAATACTTGAAGGTTACTGGGACAATGAATGGTGGAAACTGGTTTTATAGAATTATATTATTTGCTCTCTTTAAGTATTCTTATATTTCTTTATGTTGTAGAATCGATTTAAAAATATAATATCATTCTGAGAAAGCTATACGCATTTTGGGACTTATACGGTTTGAAATTTGCATTATTAAATCGACATGCCAGCGAACGTGTTAACGATTGAAAAAAATTGATGCATATACATTAAAGCCTCATAATCTCAATGGCTGATAAACGTATCTAGTTATCACCAAGGATTGTAAATGGACAACATGCTACAAGTTCATTGTCGAAATAAAAATGTATTTGCTTTATGTAACGCCCCCTCCCCATTGGCACAGCGGTATGTCTGCGGACTTACAACGCTGGAATTTGGGTTTCGATACCCATGGTGGGCAGAACACAGATAGACCATTGTGTAGCTTTGTGCGTAATTACAAACAAACAATTTATATAGACATATCTCACATTAGTCCCGTTCAATCCTGGTATTGAAACTATAGCAATTTGTTAATGATCAGAATGATGAGTTACTTTAAAACTGTTTTTATTAATTGTATATATTTATAGTGATATGTGTAATTTATATATGTATATATATACATGCATACTACACAATGCAACCCGCAGTTATAAACAATACTATTCAATCCATTAGATATTACAGCTCACAACAATAAATAAGGTAACCGACAATTATAACCAACACAGCTCACAACAATAAACATTACAATTTATAATAGTAGAAAAGACAACAGACATTATTTAATTTCTGTATGTACATTGGTGTATAAAAAACATTTTATCACTAGAAATAAACGACCTTATAACACCAATTTGTTATTTTTCTTTAAGTGGACACTTAACGTTTCGCTTCACAGTTTTTTCAGGAGCGTTCCATCAAAACAGAAACTGTAACTGTTATATTTAATTTATTAATTTACATCATGCAGTAAAGTTTCGATTATTTTTTTTATTGTTATACCTAATTTGTTATTGCTTTAAATACTCGCTTGATTTATCTAGTTTGTTTGTTCAAACATAAAGCTGTACAATGGAATATTTGCGCTGTGCCCAGCACAGGTATCGAACTCTGAATTCTAACGTTATAAGCCTGAATGCATACCGCTGACCAAGGGGCTTTGACTTTTAGGTGTTGTATCCCATTATAGTCCATATGCCTCTGTGTCAGATCTAGTGGAACTGTGTAAAGGATTATGGTAAAAGTGTAAAACTGAAACGTTAGGAGATATAGAGAAACTTTATTGTTTTGTTTCTTCAGAAAACGGTGCTTTCTTATTGCTCTCTATACAAAGTTTTAAAGTGTACTATACTTTTCGAAAAGCTAAAGCATTTAAGTAACGCTTCTTATTTCCTTCCAACTTTAAAAGCGATCATCGAAGTTTCAAACAATCAGCAAATTGTCATATACTCATAATGAAGAACATAACCATAAAGTCAAGAAAACAAAACTTACTCACACACCCGCTCCTGTAGAGACTCGATCATGGTACACGTTCCTCCATTTAAACAGAAGGACCGAACATTACACGGTGATCTTTTGAAGTGCCAAGGTGTATATTCTGTTACCACAAATATAACAATTATTCAAAATATCTTGAATTTCAATATTAAAATAACATTTTAAAACAGTACCTTTAGATTTACAAAATATAATCAAATTTATAGTTATACATCTCATTTTTTACCGTCACAATCGCTGGTTTGCAGTTCGTAATAACCAAGTTAGTTTGATTTCGGTCTGTTTTGAATTTCGCGCAAAGCAGCTCGAGGGTTATCTGAGCTAACCGTCCCTAATTTAGAAGTGATAGACCAAAGAGGAGGCAGCTAGTCTACACTACTCAGCGCCAACTCATGGGCTACTCTTTTACCAACGAATAGTGGAATTGACCGTTACATTATATTGCTCCCACGGCTGAAAGGGTGTGGGTGTTCAGTGATAGGGATTCGAACCTCAGATTGAGAGTCATACACCCTAACCACCAGGTCATGCCAAGTCTCGTAATAGGTAAAGGATTGCGAGAGAAACTTAAGTTTGTTAATATGCTTCTTTTTCACATTTAGTATTTGCATCTTGTACAAATGTGGGTATGAGGAATAACAACAGATAATATACATGGAAAACTATAATTACAAGTTAGCCTTATAATTAATTTATAAATAAAACACCCAAAAAGTCTTGTATTGAAATAAAGTCAAACATTTTCTATAACAAGACAACAATTCTAGATCTTAGCCTTCTATTACGATATGTGTTCATTTATCAGTTGTTTTTAATGATGTATAGACCTATCGTCAGAATTCAACCCCCACTTTTTTAGGATATCATGAGGATGCAAACGTACCAGTACTATTTTCAGATGATTTAGTTGACTTTCTTGATCCAGTAATTACTACTTTAACCTTACTAATAGTCAGTGGTGCCAAGATGTTTGTCGCTCGGCATTCGTACCATCCACCATCCCGTCTCTTAACTCGCTTAACAGTTATTACAGAACTTTTCCTGTAAGATATCATTTAAACACAAGTGATTACTAGACACTAATCCAAATGCAAGTTAGTGCATATTAATTTTTATCCAATAAATTTTCATTATGAATAGGCTAAAATTTTTCTGATCTTTATCTTGCAACATAATTTAATTATAAAAGCATGAGTTTAATAAAGCATAATATTGTGACTTTACTTTCAGAGAATAAAGTTTTTATCCATTTTATCATTTTATTTTCATAACTGACATTCTACAGTTGATTTTCAACTATCTTTATGCTTTTGTAAATTTTCCGTTCACTTGATTCTAATTTCTTAAACTTACAAATAAATTATACGCTACAAACTTTCAAGTAATATGTATGTGTTGATGGCTATGTCTGTTGAAATTGGCTAGCTGAAATTCTTCCACAGTTACTGTTTCACTAATTTAGTTGAGCATAAAATATATCGTAATATGCGTATAATCTAATCTAGAATTAGATTTACGTAAATAAAATCACGACCTATATCTCCAGAATGTATCTTTATTAACTAAATATTTCGCTTTTACAGCTTCGTCAGGAGCTATCGATGTTCTACAAGTTCACATCCGGTTGAATCTAAATTGGAACACCGTCATCATTAAATCGAACATCAATACACGTGTTTCAAAAGTTCAGATCGTATTAAAATAATATCAAACATTCTTGAAACAAAGACAAGAATCAGAATTAGACTTAATTATCTAACGTAGAACCAATGCTGAGGGAAGTCAGAGGAGCTTTAGAACTTTCGAAATAACTCCGTCAAAAATACGGTATGTACTGTGATCGGATGGTATCAATAACTATACAAGAAGAGTGTTGAAAAATATGTCCAGGTTCGAAACGGCCCCAGAAGGGTTAAGGTTCATTAACGGTAGTGCAAAAACTAATTTGAAAAAGAAAAAAAAAGGAAACGATTTCCAAACAGGATTGAGCTCAAATCCAATTTTTTTTATTGAACATGTTTTCTATATTTTAAAATATTTCTATCGTTTCTCCTGTTTTGCTTTGATCAAACTCACAGCTGAAACCAAGAAAATTAAAAGTTTTAAAAGGAAGGTTTTGTTTTGAATTTCGCGCCAAGCTGCACGAGAGCTATCTGCGTAGCCGTCCCGAATTTAGCAGAGAAAGACCAGAGGGAAGGTAGATATTCATCACCACCCACTGCCAACTCTTGGGCTACTCTTTTACTAACAAATAGTGGGATTGACCGCACATTATAACGCCCCAGGGCTGAAAGGGCAAGCATGTTTGGTGGGACGGAGATTGCGAGTCAAACGTCCTAACCACCTGGTCTTGATGGAAAAGGAGAAATTAAGCCTTGTCTCTTCTAATGTGATCCCCCCAAACTTTAAGCTCTATCCAAACTGCACAAATAGGGATTAACCATTTAGATCGATTGTAGTTTGCAACAACAACCCGAGCTATCCTTTGGCCACATATTTAGTGAACAGACTATATCACCACTAGAGGAGTTATGTGCTTGTGTGTGTGTGTTTTTCTTATAGCAAAGCCACATTGGGCTATCTGTTTTGTCCACCGAGGGGAATCGAACCCTTGATTTTAGCATTGTAAATCTGGAGATTTTCCGCTAACCCAGTGGGAGACAAGAGGATTTAAATAAATGTAGTGTAAAAGAAAAAATCTATATAGTTTGTTATCAAGCCAACAAATATGAGAGTAAAATAAAAACGTTTCGTATTTTTCGACATAAAAACATATCTACGAAATTGGCCCGGCATGGTTAGGACGTTAGGTGGTTAGGACGTTCGACTCACAATCTTAGGGTCGCGGGTTCGAATCCCCGTCCCACCAAACATGCTCACCCTTTCAGCCTTGGGGGCGTTATAATGTGACGGTCAATCCCACTATTCGTTGGTAAAAGAGTAGCCCAAGAGTTGGCAGTGGGTGGTGATGATTAGCTGCCTTTCCTCTAGTCTTACACTGCTAAATTAAGGACGGCAAGCGCAGATAGCCCTCGTGTAGCTTTGCGCGAAATTAAAAACAAACAAAACAAAAACAATCTACGAAATTTCCTTTAAATGGAGACCTACATGAAGTATCTAAAAGATTATAGGATTTTTTTCTCCGACTACTGTCAGAATACAACTCAATACGCCTCGTAAGAATATGAGTCAGCAAATGGTATTTCTAGATCAATATGGACTTTTTTTTTTCAATAAAATCACGGCCTGAGCATAGTCAATCTGCTCTATCCTCTTTTTTGTAACGTCTTCATAGATGACTTTTAAAAAAAAGTTATTCAACTAATTGTATGAAAAATCTTATCTCTATGTACAATATGTTGATGACACGTTTGATGATATCAGCTACATTAACAATTTCATGGAAAAATTGAACTTAATTCATCCATACATATTATTCTCTTATGAACTAGAATATAATGCCTGGATCAGATTTCTCGATGCTATAGTTACGCGGATGCCCAGATCGTAATTATAAAATTTTATGAGTGAAAGTAAAGAAGAACGTAATAATATGTCAAACACACTATATCTGCTATATCCAGTTTCGAAGAGGACTTTCCTCTAATTATGAAGCTCATCAGAGAGTCTGGATTACGACAGACACTGTAGTAGTCAGACAACATTTATCACCAAGTGTGAGCCTACTTCCTCTCACAATATATCGAGACATCTTTATTCTCAGGACATCGGTTATGTATATAAAAAAAACAAAAAACTCTTGCTTGACGTATTTGAACGCTTGCACTGGCGAAAAGTCCATTCATGATGAACTGAACTATTGGATTTAAACAGAGCTAATTAAATAATTTGTTCAGTAAAATTATAAAGCTTCATAACAAAGTGAGCCAACTAGTTACACATAAATTAAAAGATGGTTCTTAATCTAACGATACCCTACTACCCCTTGATGTCAAATATAATAGGTGCTTTTTTGAAACCGAATAAAATTATACCAGCTTAAAAGTCAATAATCAAACTTTCAAATAAGTTTTTCGAAGGTAAAGGTAAGATAAAAGGCCACTATAGACAGCATTCTTATTCCACCCCTTGTTCTTGTAATTGTGCGTATATTGTTCAAACTGTCTTTCAGTTAGAGTAAAGGAATATCAAGGAAGTTGTAAAATTAGCTTTAGCGTTACATTTGCACTTAATAAACCGCTTAAACTAATTTTGATCAAACAAAAGTCATTATTAAACCATAATTCTTCCATCAACGCAGCAAAATATAATCGATAGAAATATTTCAAAATAGAAAAAAAAGACACTCAATAATGAAATGGGATTTGAACTTAACTTCATTTGGAAGTTTTTTTTTTTACACTTTGACGCCGTTAATGAACGTTGACCCTTTTGGACCGCTTTGAACCTGAACTATCCCTTGAAAATGACAATCTTGGCCTGTCGAAAGTAGTCATGTTTTTATTTCTATTTTTTTTAGTTTTTAATCATTTCTACATTATTATGCTGACGTGCTATTACTGTTTTTTATATTTTTATTTTAACCTAGTCATGCTAGCTTCAAGATGAATTCATATAATGTCGTGGCCACTGTGAAAGCTGAAAATACCAACAGGAAATAAGGTTTTATTATCACTTAAGTAGCCTGTTTTTACACTTATTGCTGTAATATATCATTTTTGTGTTTTATTAAGATTGATTAACTTCTTAAATGGCAGCAGATAGTGAATGATAATATGAGATGTTGCGAGGAATCGAAGCCAAGAGTTAAACATTGTAGGTCCGTAAACTTACCACTTTCCCACCAGGACACAAAATATAAGGCTATGGGCCCAAAGTGTCCCATAGACACAGCAGATAGTCCAATGTAACTTTGCTCTAAACCTAACCAACAAACCAAACAAGACTTATATTTTTCTAACTATATGTTATAGTTTTTTCAGTATGTGAGACTTGAGACGATAGATTAAGACTGCGGGAGATGTATCCTTCATGCCTAGCAGACCCTTCTACTAAGATAAATTTTAACATTCTCATCTGTAGTATGATGTCCTAACTTTATTTGTTTTAACTATATGTCCGTCGCTATTTCATTTTAGCTTAGTTATGTTAAGCTATATATACAGCTACGAAAATAATCAGGGAAACACACAAGAGATACACATAGAATAGTCACAATCAACGCCTGCCATGGCCAGGTGGTTAGGGCGCTCGACTCGTAATCTGAGGGTCGCGGGTTCGAATCCCCGTCACACCAAACATGCCAACCTCCGCCTTTGCCTGGTCCCAAGTCCAGGATGAAAAAGGAGGAGGGTTGGGCGCGGGGCTAGCAACTCCACCCCGTAAAAACCAACCTGCTACAAGTAACTGCAACAACAACTTCTGTTGGCGAGTTGTTGTCGCGGCGCTATGCTCCACTGGGAGTTCACAGGAATAAAAAAAAAGTCACAATCAACGAATACTTGCAATTAAATGGTGAATTTATTAATGGTTTAAGACATAATCACGAAAGCACAATGGAAAAATAATAATTTGTACAAGGCTCTACTATTGTATACTCGAGCCCTTTGATTTATATAGAGCATTACACCTGTTTTTCATGCTACTATACACTTTATCAAGGTATGGTTTTATAATGTTGTTCCAAATATGCTGTACTATTCGCCACAATCCTGCCAAGTGTCTTGGCAGCCTTATGACCTTTGCACTTTTTACATAAGCCCGTAAAGACTCAAGAATGTATATATTGGAAGTTAGTGCAGGCCAAGCCATTCTTTTATTATTCCATTGGCCTCGTACTCATCAAAATATCATTTACTCTATGCTTAGGATCATCGACTTGCTGGAAGATGAATCTCTATCCGATGAGTAGTATTCCTATGGGAAGGACATGATCGATCAGAATCTGATGTACTTGTCAGCAGTCAGGATGTCATCAGATGTGGATGTATCATCGACAATGTTGGTTGAGTTTTTGTCTCAAACTTGGACAGATCCCTCACAATGTTTCATTATATATGTTGTACATTGACTATAATATC